TGCATTGATCCAGGCTGTCCAGATCCCTCTGTAGAGCCTTCCTACACTGAAGCAGATCAACACTCCCACCCAGCTTGGTGTCGTCTGCAAACTGACTGAGGGTCCACTCATCCCCTCGTCCAGATCATTGATAAAGTTATTAAACAGAACTGGCCTCAATACCGAGCCCTGGGGAACACCACTGGTGACCGGCCGCCAACTGGATTTGACTCCATTCACCACCACTCTTTGGGCCTGGCCATCAGTTTTTTAGCTAGCGAAGAGTATTTCTGTCCAAGCCATAAGCAGCCAGTTTCTCCAGGAGAATGCTGTGGGAAATGGTATCAAAGACTTTACTAAAGTCTAGGTAGACAACACCCACAGCCTTTCCCTCACACATTAAGTGGGTTGCCTTGTCATAGGAGGAGATCAGGTTGGTCAAGCAGGACCTGCCTCTCATAAACCCATGCTGACTGGGCCTGATCTCCTGGTTGTCCTGTACATGCCATGTGATGGTACTCAAGATGATCAGCACCATAACCTACCCAGCACCAAGGTCAGGCTGACATTGTTGTCTCAATAATTTTGCAGATATCAAGTTGTTTCTTGTTTCTTCTTTTTTCTCTTTTCTTTATGTCTTTCTAGGGACCTGACATTTATGTTCCTCTTCTTCCATTTTCTGCTGCAATTCATTCAACCTCTGGGGCACAAACTTCCTCGTTTTCTTTCCTTTGACCTTCCTCCCTTTGTGTCCAGCCCCTTCAACATCATCTTTCTTCCTTAGTTTCTTGCCTTTTATGGATAATTTGGGTTGTTGGATGTTTGGGTTTTGGTGAGGTTTTTTGCTATATTTCAGTCTCAGATACTGCAAAATGAAGATGTCACTTCCTTTTTCTTTCTCCCCTCCCCACCCCCAATTGAGCAGTACAAAGCCTTTCTTCTTCTTTTAACTATTTAGGCACTTACTTTAAAACAGAAACTACTATGGTTGTTTGATACCCAGCCTTCAGGGCATGTGGGGACTGGAGCTGTAGTTGGAATAGGTGGAGCTGTTGCATTCTTTGCCCACTGCTTACAGATGTATTTTTGTTTTGTTTCACAGTCAAGAACATGCCATAATCCAGCTGCAGTCCCAGTTCTTACAGCTACACATCCTGGATTACTTCCTTTATGAGAAACAAAAAAACACATTGGGTATTTTATACAGTCCAAATTGTTTAATTCTTACTTAAAATCTTTGAGCAGTGGCCATTCGCTTCTTGCCATAGAGTAACACTTGAATAGCAGAGTTATATTCTAGGTGCTTTTTACACAGGCAGAGTAGTATTTTCTGAGGATGTCATGATCAGTTTGGGATCCTGCTTTTTTTAATTTTGAATGTCCTGCATAATTAATTCTATGGGTAGAAAGTAAGTTTGGTTGGTTGTGGGTTTTTTTGGTTTTTTTGGTTTTTTTGGTTTTTTTTGGTTTGTTTTTTTTGTTTTTTTTGTTTTTTTTTTTTTACAGTGAAAACCTGTGTTTTCAAGTGAGGACCTCATTCCTACTTACATTAAGCCTGTTTTGTATCAGGTAGCATAACCTTGGTCACTAGTGTTTTTCATATAGATGGAAACAAACCCCTTGGTTCATACATAGGAGAGCATGCAAACCTCGACAGAGACGTGATGAAGCTTATCCCATGACATTTGCTGTAATTTTAATATATTCTCTCAGAGGGAACCAGAGGTACATAGATCACACAAGATGCAGTCAAATGCACACAACGGGCTTATACAATGGCTTATTTGTTTTCTTTCTTAATTTCCTAAGGATTCTTAACATTTTATTTGCTTTTTCATTCCTGTTGAGCACAGACCTGATGTTTTAATGGACCTGTGCACATGGTGCCAAGAACTGACTCCTGAAATGAAATGGTCAGCTATAAGTCCATCATTTTATGTCAGTTCAAGACATATGTTTCTTCCTATGAGCATCACTTTACCTGCATCAAAGTTCACGTGCCATTTTACTGATCATGCTCAGTCACTCCTGAGATCATCCTGCATTTTCTCACAGGCACATCTTCACTATCAGAAATAATTTGGTATCATCAGCAAATCTTATCACCTCACTATTTCACCTTTTCCAGATTGTCTGTAAATATGCTGAACAGCATGGGCATTGGCACAGATCATTATGTGCCTCTATTGGTGAACACTTCCCCAGTAAAAAATAGCCCCCGTAAGAAAAATCCACCTTCCATTCCCTACCTTTTGGTCAAAATTCTTATTCATCTAACAGCCTTCCTGAGTCAGGTCAGATTAACTGAAAGGCTTTTGGTAATCAAGATAGACCAGACTAACTAGATTTCCCTTGTTCGTATGCTTTTGGCTCCTGTGGGGAGCTTCAGGAGATCTGTGAGCATGACCTCCCTTTAAACAAGCAATTTTATATATCTTTCCCACTATATCTTCTTTAGTCTATTCTTTATTACAGATTCGGCTAATTTATCAATGACTCATTGGTCTGTATTTCCCCACATCTCCCTGGAACCATTTTAGATTTTGGCACCAAATTTGCCTTTTTTCACCCCTTAGCTGTCAAGGCAGTTTTAGCAGATAGTTACACATTAAAGTGAGTGATTCACTTAATGTAACCTTTACAGATCTTGGATGCTTTTGCAGCTGTACTTAGTCCTGACTTGCTATTCTTCAAGTCATCTATTTGTTCCATAATCTATTCTCTTGGAATTTCAGCTTGAAATAGACTCTCTGATCATACCCTCACAAAAAAAAAACCAAAACTTTCCAGCACAGAAAGCCTGTTTTCTTCCTCAGTGAACACAGATGCAAGGAAACTAATTTTTCTTCACTGTTCCAGACTGATCTCTGAGTGCTCCCTTTATACTCTGATCATCTGCTGGCACCATAGACTCCCTGGCAAGTTTAGTTCTAATGACATTTACAGAAGTTTTATTACTCTATGCCTTTTGCAATTTTTTATTATTTTTCTTTCACTTTACATTTTATAACCTCACTGAACATTTTTGAGAAAGTTTTCAGACAAATGATCACTAGGAGGGATGTAATCTATCTTGGGGAGAGCAGATTCCCTCATGGCACTTTGAAATCTTGCTTTCTGTGCTTCAGCATAGTATGATCCCTTGAATGAAGTTTTCTTAGCATCACAAGTAAAAAAAAAAAAATAATGGTATGATCATTTTTGATACTGTGATTTTATAATTCTAAATTAAAATCCTTATTACAGTTGCTCTCTTTCAAACTATTCCCCCAGGCTAACTTTTCCACTAGAAGGACGAGTGCAGCATAGTCTCAGGAACTGCTGGTAACTCCTCTTTATCTCTTTGTGAAGATGAGCCAAAAGGTTCATTTTATGTGTAAATATATCAGATGTCATAATATAAAACTGCAGTTCAAATTGTTCCTTTTGAAATTAAAATATGGGGTTTGAGAACAGCCAGTTCCTGCAAATTATACCGAAAGCTTAAAGCATAAAGTTCAGAGGACATTGCCAATACAAACCCAAATAGGGACCACGACCTCAGAAAGCACCTAGGTGCCACTGTCACGGCACCTACCAGGCATTGCTGCATCCCAGTGTGTGAACAAGACGGCTTCACCATTGGCCCACTTGAAAGTGCCTTGGTCTTCCATGTCAGAGAGACCAAGCCAAAAATATTTCTCAGGCCTCAGCCCAACAAGGCTAGTCAGATAGGCTTGTTCATACCTGTAAAAGGGATCATAAAGATGCAAAGTGAAAACAAAGTCATTTATCGAAATCCTACTTGGCTGATCTGATGATGAATCCTTTTCTCGTTTTCCTTGCTTCAGACTGGGGGAGAGGACCTTACGATAGGATTCTGACTCTATAAATCAACAAACAGAAGCCAGATTTTTTTTGTTGTTCAACTAGAGACCTCATCTGTAATTTAGATAATTTGTTGTTTAACATTGTATTAGAAATGTAGTTCCAGGAGTATTTCAGAACATACAACCCTTTACCTATTTAAAAGCCAAGGAAAAGTCATTATCATACCTGCTTTCAACTGTGGCTAAGTAACCTTTTTCTCCTTCACAAGTGGTGTTTGCTTCTGAAAATGTTGCTGGAACATGTCCAATAAAATAGCAGTAGGTCCCATATCTTCTCCAGCCCTGTAACATGATTTTAGGATTCCCGTATAACTTTTAAATAGTTGTAACATCATGTATTAAGTGAGCTATACCATTTCAAAATGAATGAAGCCCAATAATCATGATTACAAATCAGAAATCTTTTGTGGAAAAATTACAGATTCTTTTTAAGTGCTTTCTGCAAATGCTTTCCTAAAGTTTAAAGTAACTGAGAGAGAGAAAATGTTCATAATGAATAAAACCCAAAACACTCCTATATGTAAATAGTATAAATAATTCAAATAATTCTAGGTGATACTCAGACAAGGTACTTATTTGATCTGGGAAAATGATGTCCCTTTTTTTAATACTCACTTTTTTGCAACCTGCATCAGTAATTTCCTTTTCTCCAACTATTTGTGATACAGGTTTTCTTTTGCAAATGTAGCCAGCTTTCTTCTCACAGACATAGTCTGCCCAATAGCCATCCTGTGGCAGGAAAAAGAATGAAATAACAATGAAATTAAGATGAATCATCTAAAGAAAATGAATAATTTCTTTCTTTATAGTGAAAACTATTCATTTTCTTTCTCCTTTCATTTTGAAATAGAAATATATCTTTTTTCCTTATCCAATTCCCCTAGTTGATAACGAAAATAAATCTTCTCACATTCAGTGAAATATTAGGCTGGGCTATAGTAGTACAGCTATGGCTGGTAGTGATAAGGAGGGATGAGGGTGCAGGGTGCTGGTCCCCAACCTGTTCTGCAGGGCCCTGCACAGGCAGGTGTGCCATGCAGGGGTGGGTGAATGAGCAGGCACAAAGGAGGCAGCAGGGATCCTCACATGCCACCGTTACTACCAGAGGAAAAGGAGCAGGAGAACATACTCAAACTGCATTCAGAGACCTGTTTTACAGCTCTAATAGTTTCACTGGTGACTTTCAGATGAACTTAAAAAGAAAATTTCATCAGTGATGCGATAACACTTTTTTTTTTTTTAATGAAAGGTCATGTTTAATCTCATCCTTTGTCCTCACATCTCTTTTTCTGGCACTAGCCAGTTGCTGAAATAGCGGGGTACATTATTATTTTATTAAGAAGTTAGTTTCAGTATTAAAGTAAAATATGTGTTGAATAATGTTACCTGACCCTTGATCAGTACACAATCTTCTGGCCTGTTGTTTGTGGTGGATGGCTCTCCTAGATGCCATTTAGTGTATGTCACTGGCATACCATCACTCCATTCAAAATACATTTGAACCTTATGATCATTCAGCCCAATCCATAGCTTGTCTGTTGGCTCTAAAACACAAACACAGAATTAGAAAAGACCTCTTATGCCACTGCATCCTTTTCACAGCACCCTCAAGCTCTAGAACATTTAAACCATTTCATAAATTTATGAAACATACAATTATTTAGTGTGTTGCATGAATATTTTACAAATTAATATTTTTCACATAGATATTAAAATGAAGACAGTATGCATTTGAAAATTTGACTGTAATGAAATCCCTGCACTGGATCAAAAAATTTTGCTTCTCTTTCTCATGGCAGTGGGAGAAGAGCAAATTAGCCTAATGCTAATACACTATGATGGTATGATAGAACCATGAGAATAGTTACTTTTTAGGTTCTGCTGCACTGGTCAGATTTTAAAATACTGTTTTTATGTAACCTGAAGTGTGAATGTTTTAAGCTTCTTTCAACAAAATGAAAAAAAAAAAACACACCAAAACCAGAGAAACCCCCTAAGCCCAGCCCCCCAGCCCTAGGTCAATTGTTTAGGCAATAAGTAAACTCAGAGTTTCGACAACAACCAAAACTCAGCAGGGGAAGACTATCAGCAACCGGATCTAACTTTGAGGCTGGCCCTGGTCCAAGCCAAGGCTGTACCAAATGACCTCCGGGGTTCCTTCTGGCCTAAACCAGTGTATGATCCTATGGTTTTAGGCATTCTTAATGAAAGGAAAGCAAGGAAAATTAAAGGTAAATTTAGACAGCATTCGCAAAAATGAGAAAGAAAGAAAGAAAGATACAGAAGGATAGTCACAATTTCTTCAATAATGACTAAACTGAGGTATGATACCAGAATCAAAAAGTACAGGAAACCAAAAATATCTCTTTGTATGGTTGGACACTAAGCGGACAAATTACTCTTTCTGAAGAAAGAAATTTTTTTTGTCTTGAACATCTTTCACTTTTTCAATAGTTAATTAAGGCTTTCACTACCTCTAAGCATGAAAAAGAGCAAATAGTTAACAGAGGCAAAAGGTAGCGACATGTCTACAGACTCCTCATGTTTCTGCCAGGGATATTAAAAAGGCCATGGCGAGACCACACTGAAATGTTGGATCCAGTGACCTGAGTATGGTTCTTTAGACAGCTCAGGCAATTCCACAGCTTGCTGGCTGGAAACTGCCTTGGCTAGCTTTGCTGACCTTTTTCCTCTGGTAGTGAGCTAAATTTTTCTTTAGTAGATTTCTTCCATCTCGACACCTGTGAACTTGCTGCTCTGCGTGCTGATTGACCACAAGACACGGAGAATGACTTAAAACCACACAGTAAGTTCCCCAAATGCACCGTAAGCAGTACAAATATGTTGTTCTTCCATAAAAAGCACTCTCTGAAAGTGGAAGTTATATTTCATAATCGTTTCACTCAGAAAGCTTCTCACTGGGATGTCTAGTTGACATGGTGGTGTTAGGGCAAAGGTTGGACTCAATGTTCCCAGAGGTCTCTTCCAACCAAATCGATTCTGTGATTCAGTAATATCCTTCTACCCTCATGCAAAGCAAGGCACAAGTCAATACAGTTGAGTAAGTCTGCAAGTTGCAGCACAGAAGGCAGCATCTGTTTTGAAGCAGAAAGGAAAGCACTGCGCCAGCCTAAAGCCACTAGACCTCTGCCTCCTTGCATGTCTTTGGCTGCAGTCTTTCATGTTAATACAATTGCTACATCTCAATTCAGCTAGCTGGTGCTTCTTACATGCAGACGAAGGCAAAAGCCCCCCCCCCCCCCCCCCAGAAACACTCACCGTACCCAAGCTGAGACACCATAAAGCTGTGCTCCTCAAGGCTTTGGATACTGGCTAGGTGACTCCCTTCCTTCTGACAAGAGGCTGAAGCTTCTTCCCATCCTTTGGCCTCCCTGAAGATCTTGTAACAGTGACCTATGTATGGTACCCATCCATCTGGACAAGTAACAGACCCAATGTCACCTGGGAACAAATATCAGTGCTTTTTTAGAGGAGTTCAAATGCCATGCAAGGGACATGACACCGAAAAATATTTTCACTTATTCTGTGCAAAAGTTCTAAACTAAGAATTTTCTTTGGAAATTCTCATTATAAGGAAATGGTGGACACAAACATAGTAAACATAAATATGATTCTAATACTGGCATTTTTTAGCTTGGAAAAGGAAAGTTTTTCAATACAAATATTATTTAATACAAATTCTAAGGTTATTATATAGTCACATGTCTGTAACAACTACACTAATATATTAATTTTAACAGCTTCTGTATTACTTAGTACTTATTTGTCAGATAAGAGAAATTAGAAATTATCTGCATCTAACATAGAATGCTCATGAATTTTTAAATGATTAAGTATATTGATAGAGTAAAAGTCATCTAGTCAGATTTACAACTAAACATATACACAGGGAAACACCGACAGGGAAATCTTTATATGGTTAAAATACCTTTTATCTTTGCAATGTGTTGATCTTTCTTCCTTTTGCTTATTTTTACTAACATCCCTCTTCTGAAAAATTATTTTGGTTTGCTCTCCCTTTTCATGCTCAGTAGTGTGTGTTTTCAAAGGGGACACCTGACTACCAAAACACGGACAGATGGGACAAGTTGGATTTTCTTTGCTCTTACCTATTTAATTCTGTGTGTTGTGGGGCTGCAGATCAGCCTAGAAAGCGTGCAATGATTGCAAAAAGCAAACCAGATAAATAAGAAATAGTTTCTATTTCTAATAAAATTCTCCTGTTCATCTTTGTCAGTGTGAATGCTGAGCAACTCTGATAACAGCTTCCACTTTTAATTATCAACATATATCAACATACCTGAGGGAACTGAGGTAAAGTTTCTTTTCTTACAAATGTAACCAAGTTTCTGATCACAGTCCCAATTTTGCCATTTCGCTTTTATTTCAGGATTCAAAACCGCACAGAGTTTTCCAGGTTCAGGAGAGGGGCTTCCTTTTGGAAAGTTACAGGGGAAAAAAAAAAAAAAAAAAAAAAAAAAGGTGAACTTTTCTGAAAGGCAAATATATCTCTAAGCTCTAAAATGCATGGGAGAAATCACTCCTGGTTGAAGTGAGAGCCGCAAGGATCATGTCTTTCCCAGCTTTGGCAAGAACTGAGGTAGGTTTCTGGTAGTGGGAATGTCTGTATGAAATATAGTATCACTTAAGTGGATATGAACATGTAACCCCCTCATAGTTTTGTTACTAGAGACCAAAAACGGAAGACTGTAACTTTTTTTGAAAGACAGTATTGCTTTCAGAGCTAAAGTATTTCTGCAATACATAGAAGTTTCTGGCTTATATTGCTATAGAAAAAAAAGCTTTTTCTGAAGCTAAAGCAAGAAAAGCTAAAATACATATCTCATGACATACCTATCTGATAATAGAATTTAAAGCAGTATTTGAGGTATGTATATTTTTTTTTTTTGGAAATACAGAATCAAAATTCATAACTACCTGGAGCCCAGTTTAAGTACTGGAAAGGGCTGCCTCCAATCCACTCCCATCCACTCCTCAAGTCCAGTCTGTTGAGTCCAATCCACAGTGCAGAATCTGTACCTTCTGTTAACTCTAAGTAACCAAAAGAAGATAAATGATTCTATAAAACACTTTTTTATTGGCAAATAAACTAAAAATGTCTCTAGGAAGACTTACAATTCTTAAACATCAAACTACAAATATCTTCAGATATTGAGATACCTGATAAATTGAAATATGCTGAAGCTTTGATTACTGTAAAAAGCAAGCAAACAAAAACCCCCTTTCTTATTCTGTCACCTAATGCAAAATGGCCACAGATGAGATACCACAGACTATATCCAAAATGCAAGCATTTCTATAGACTAGGCTAAATTCTGTACAATGTTGGATTTATTTAAGTAGAAATATTGGTACAGTGTAAGTATAAACAATAATAATAAAGTTCTTAGAAGTCAAATTCATCATTAAAAATAACAAGAGAGAGTTTCTTCCGCACCATTCCTCCTGCAATACATGTGTAGGTAGAGCCATGATTTGGGATCTAGGAATAACTCATACTTTTCAGTTTGTCAAATGAATGAAAAAAATCAGATGTCAAACTACATTTGACACAAAAAGAATCTTTCTTTTGGCACAAAGATCTCTCTTTTCTCTTATTTCCAGTTTGTTTCAAAGTATCCGTTTGACCCAAAATGAAACTTTCATTTACTTTTCAGAATTTTCTTTTCCTCTTAAAAAAAAAAAAAAAAAAAAAAAAAATCAAAGTTTAAAGATGTTATCTCATATTAAAACAGAAAGCTAAACCGTTACACTTGCTGATTGCTGGAATACTTTGAATTCTGTTTAAACCTGGCAGTGATTTTGATATGAACTTGCAAATTCTAAATAATTTTGTTTTCTTACTCATGCATATTTAGGTCAATAGACATTAGCCAAAACTATACCAAATAGTCCTTAGCTGTGATGATGGACTGAACAGATCCTGAAAGTAAGTCAGGGTTTGCTTTACTTCCTTACCTTTAAGGTATGTTTGTTCATGAATGTCTGTGACACTCAATAATTCTGCATTTTGCTGCTGACAGCTCCTCCTGGCTTGGTGCCATGTGAGAGCTGATTCAGAGTTTATTTGATAGCGAACGTTTGTTAACAGATCTGTAGTCCAGGTGGTGTCTTTATCTGTGGAGAAAATAATTATTTTGGGGGTGATAGTAACTCGCAGAAAAGTGAGATGCAGGTTTTCGTTATGCATGGCATTCTCATGAAAAGTCACCTGTGCTGTTCTTTCAGTAGCACTGAATATGTTACAAGCAGGATGGGAAAGGATGAAGAACTATGCTAAGGCACATGGAAAATAAGGAGGTGATTGGTGACAGCCAATATGGCTTCGCTAAAGGCAAATCGTGCCTGACAAATTTGGTGGCTTTCTACAAGAGAGTTATGGCATTGGTGGATAAGGGAAGAGCAATTGACGTCATCTACCTGGACTTGTGCAAAGCATTTGACACTGTCCTGCATGACATCCTTGTCTGAATTGGAGAGATGCGGATTTGACACATGGACCACTCAGTGGATAAGGAATTGGCTGGATGGTTGCACTCAAAGAGTTGCAGGCAATGGTTTGATGTCCAACTGGAGACCGGTGACAAGTGGCATTGCTTAGCGGCCCATATTGGGACTGGCGCTGTTTAACATCTTTGTCAATGACATAGACAGTGGGATTGAGTGTACCCTCAGCAAGTTTGCCAACAACATCAAGCTGTGTGGTGCGTTCAACACGCTGTAGGGAAGGGATGCCATCCAGAAGGACCTTGACAGGCTTGAGAGCTGGGCCCGTGCAAACCTCATGAAGTTCAACAAGGCCAAGTGCAAGGTCCTGCACCTGGGTCGAGGCAATCCCAAGCACAAATACAGGATGGGCTGAAAACGGATTGAGAGCAGCCCTGAGGAGAAGGACTTGGGGGTGTTGGTTGACAAGAAGCTCAACATGACCTGGCAATGTGCACTCACAGCCCAGAAAGCCAACCGTATCCTGGGCTGTATCAAAAGCAGTGTGACCAGCAGGATGAGGGAGGGGATTCT